AGCTTCCGATACAACTGTAATATCAACCGCCTTTTCCTTCCCATTTACCACATTTATTCTAGTGCCATCTCCGTTGTTTACACATACTAAATTTTTTAGTTCCATTAATTCCTCTATTACGTCCCCATTTGAATCATTATAACTATCCCACAACGTATTATGCCCATTAAAATCTCCACAACAAATAACCTTACCCTCTAAATTTATTGCAATTTCCTGTTTTCCAATGTTATTTTCTTACATGGATTATAATAATTTACTGTTTTAATATTTCCTTCATTTGTCCAAACTTCAATTACTAAAAATTCCAATTCCTTTCCTTTTACCATTACCGTATAATGCATATTCTGTTTGATAAAAATACCCCCCCATTCATTTCTAAATCATTGATAAAACTTTTGAATTCCTGTCCATTTGCCAATAGACTCCTTGCATTCCATTGAATTATAAACATTAACTCTATCCAATTTGGCTTGAAGATCTTCCTTCCGACTCAAGTCTTCTGGTAATCTGTTCCCAAGAAAGGTTTCTGACTGACAAAAATTTCTCAGCACCTTTTGTAATAACTTTAATTTTCTCAGTTTTCTGTTTTACCTGATCAGTACAATTGATAACATATGCTATGAACAATTTTCTATGTTCATTGATACCCCTTTTAGGTTTCTCACAGTATCCTGGGTTCTTACATCTTTGGCTGCCCCCTCCTTTGTTTTTCCTTCTTGAATTCTTTTCACTGCATAACTTATATTACTCTTTGTTTTAATTTGTTGGACCGCCACTGCTCTTTTCCTTACCTCACATCCTCCATATGTTACACTATAATCTCCACCACAGTTACAACACGCTACCTTCACATTTCCCCCACATTCCTCATACCTACGATCTCCCCCACACTTTGCACATCTTTGTTTTCCTCTACACACTGCAGCAATATGTCCATATCTCTGACATTTGTAACACCTAAGAGGTGGTGGAACATATTCTCTGACATAGTAGCTCATGTATCCTATTTTAACCCTTTCTGGAAGTTTTTCATCTTGAAAGTCAATTAACACAGACAAACTGGCAACTCGTTTTCCATTGACTGTTTTATTTAATCGTCTCACATTCGTCACTATTCCTCCTAGCATATTCTTTTTGATGTGGTCCAAATCCTCTTCGACTGGAACACCCCATATTACTCCCCGTGTCCCCGTTTTTCCCATGTATTACTTTTTTATCCACTACAGTCTTCTTGCATACCCTTCCAATATGCAACGCTTCATTCCTTTGTCTTACATTTGATCAATATATTCCCGTCATAAAGGATTTTTGCTATTTCTATCTCTCCCAGCTTCTTCTTTAAATCTTTGGTAAGTGCAATTGGACTTAAACCTATGTGTTCATCTTCTTTCCTCATTACAAGTATAATCTTGAATTCTTCCCTTTCCGATCTCCTCCGAATCGTCCGCTCATTTTCCTCGGAACTACATTCTTCCAGACCCCTTTTTTTGCTTACGTTATTTATGTTTCTATTCCCTCCTTCCTGACTTCTTCCTATATCCCGCTCTTTTTCACGCCCTACCGCTATCCATTCTTCACTATTCATGTCATCATCTTCATACCAAGATCCTTCTCTCCTGACCCATTCACTAACCAGTTCCTGACAAAAAAACTGAGCACGAGAGGATCTAAAATAGGGAAGGGCTAATGAGGAATGAATGGCAACAGGTGTGACAGAAAACACAAGAGAATTAAGGATAAGAGTGGGAGGGGAAAAACACCACACAGACAGCGGAGCACATGGTGAGCTGTCAAAACAAAACCCATGTGCTCGGAGACCAAGCTCACAGACACAGAGAGACAATCAGAAGAATTCATGACAATCGGTGGGTATGACTGTGACAAACCCGTGCCGGTAAAGCGTTCTATCTGGCGTGATATCCTGATGGTAAGTGTTTTAAACGCAATTATAATTGGGAGTGGGGACAATATAATGACTAGTAATATATCTCCTTTTGGGTTCATGGTAGGATTCTCCCTCTCGCTCTATGCCGTGATTGTTTGCTGCTGTCTTCGCGCTGTTAAAGAGCTGCTTTTTATACAGACGCTGTCGTCCCCATTAATTGAAAGGGACTGCTTATCTGTTTCTTATCGTGCCATTTTAGTGCCCTACTTCACATTTTTTGGTTTGTTATGGGAGGCTTGACCATCTCTTTTCGTTTACATACAAGATAAAAACTGGCCCCTGTCTTTTTTCTTTTTCTTTTTCTTTGATTTAAACCATTTTGTTTTGTTTTCCTTTGTGGAAGTATAGTTTGCTTGGTTGATTTGATTTTTCTTTTCTTTATTCCTGTAAAATGCATTAAAGTTTTGTGGTTGTAGTTTTTGTTGCACATAATCAGCCATCGATTACTGCAACTGTACTTGTATGTGACCATTTACTGAGTTTGAGTGTTTTGTAATAATCTCAGGTGATAACTATTCGATCTTTCTAAGGTTTCATTGTCATCATATTACTTTTTGAGTGGTTGGAGTATTTTTCCCTGGGTTTAATTCCTAGGGTAGCATAGTCGTATTTTCTTACCAGTAAAAACTCAGGTTGATCTCTCAAAATTGCACCCCCCCGCCACATTCACAATCCAAAATTGCTCTTTAAAGCATTAAAAACACTAAATTAAAAGTTAAAATCAATGAATTAAAAATGAAAATAAATAATAGAAATCAGACAACATTTTAACTGATAAGAAGAATACATATTTAACTAATTTGAGCTAGTAATTAGGTAGTAGCTAGTCATTAATAACATTCAAATACATTACTGCTATCATTAAAATACACCTATGTAGGATTAAAATTCTACATGTCACATTTAATGTCCAACAACAAATATTTTAGCAGAAAGTATATTTTACTCAGAATTATTGTGCTATTATATTTAGCATGCATGCGCGCAGTAGAGCTTGTTTACTCGCAAATCCTCGCCCGCTCCTGACAGTAAAATAAATATATTTGCATGACTTTCTAACATTTACATGTGAAACATATACCTGTGACGTGTCCGTTATGCACTGAGGAAAACACAACGTCTCAAATGCATTAAACCGCACAAATATTCGCTGTTTGCCATAGTGGATCGATTTGATCCATGAGCGACCTTAAGGGCTGCTTAAGAATAAGCGAGCACATCATATCATCCTGACTCATTGAACCTGGATCGAATTAGTGAGATTGCGTGAATTTAAATAGTCTTTTATGAAACAGCCCCCTGCTTTCTGGAATACCCCCCTGATAGTGTCCAAAACAGTGCTCTGGAGTAACTAAGCAGAGACATTACTAACTTGACTACTTTTTTAACAGTTTGACAGTTGTTTTAAAAGTAGTTTATCTCACCCAGTACTGAGCTAAATGTGTATATAGTTTAAGGTTGTGATCATTCACTGTTTGACTCTATTGGCACTTTATGTATTTATCTATTCAGATGTTGTTGCTTTAATTCATCTTCATTGTTATTGTGGCAGATAAATGCTCCTACATTTCCACCACCCTTCATACTGTAGGAGAAACAGTATAGACCATATTGGATTAATTTAGTAAGTTCAAGTAATATTATCTTCTAAAAATCAAATAAAATTGACATCTATGAAGATTTTGAAAATCACAATAGTAATTTCTCAACTAACCAATGTCTGCAGGAGAATGTTAACGAGTGGGTCCTCTCTTACTAATTTCACTTTAACGAGGAACCCAGGTGATGAAAATCTGTGTTACTTTAAAACCCCTGACTCAACACTTGTTTTGGAAAGCAATGTTAGATTGTTGATTGTGCAAACTTTACTCAAGATGGCTGTTTCAAATCTGATGTGTTTGGTGTTTTTGTGTCACCAATTGGTGCTCAATGGTGAAGTTGTTCCCACATTGACGTAGTGTTTTAAATATGTTATTTTTTATGTGTCTTTCTTTAACCTTATATTTTGTCTTCAGGATTTGCTTCTCCAATTGGCTATTCTTTATACCAGGCTGGTAGTGAGCAAGTGCGCTTGGAGAAGAAAGGTTTTTAAATTTGTGTGGTCATGATGGCATTCTGTTTTTTTTTTTTTTGTTTTTTTGTTTTTTGAGTACGTGATGTCGTTGATTTAATGGGGCATACTGACTTTCTGTGTTATTAGTGAAACAATACGGTCACAATATAAGAATACAGAAATACAGCGGTGTGTGTGTGATTCACCCGAAATGCAGTTCAGATGTAAATTTAGCATTAAATGTTTGTGCCTCAAATGTTAAACCCAGGTCTTAGCTGAGGATTTAAAATGGGGCAATTAAAGTGTTAAACGTGGTTTTTTTTTTTATTTTTTTTTTTTTTTTTAATGCATGTAATCAGGGACTGAGTGCAAACAAGTCTTACAGTAGTTTGTTATTCAAATTATGAATACGGTTCTGATCTCTGTGCCATGTGTAGTGGGAGGGCAAAGTCAAAAACTATACAGGTCCACCCCTGATGTAGTTCCACACTTAACACTTCAATGAAGCATACTTTTTAAGTTTATCATGTCTTGGTTAAAATGTTTTTTTTGTACGTTCCAAAATGTATTTCTTTTGAAGTTGAGACGTGTACCGTTGTACTCCAGTTCTTGCCTCTTGTTTTCCAGATGGCCCCTTGTCCTGTCCTTATGCAAGCCAAAACCCAAACCCGCCAGTGATAGCAAAGTGCAACTTGGCTGTTCTGCTGTCTTTGAAGAATGTATCTGGGCTAGTTATCCAAAAGGGTAATATTTTCTGATGATACTTTACCATGAGGAAAGCTAGTTTCATCTTAGCTGACATGTTTTATGTAGGTTTTGATGTGAATTTGTCTGCAGAGTCCAGCCCTCTCACTGTCAAGGAGTCAGGCACTTTGCCCGCTGAGGTTGATGGGAAGCTGACTGTGTCTAGCCCTCTGCCTGCTGAGGAGACCAGTTCGCAGCCTACCAAGGAGTCTAATGCTATCCCAACTGGGGGATCTAGCTCTCTGCCTGTTGAGGAGTCCAGCCCCCAGCCTGCCAAGGAGTCCAGTGCAATCCCAACTGGGAAACCTAGCTCTCTGCCTGCTGAGTCCAGCCCTCACCCAGTTGCAGAGGCCAGCAGCCCGCCTGCCCAGGAGCCCTCTCACTGTCAAGGAGTCAGGCACTTTGCCCGCTGAGGTTGATGGGAAGCTGACTGTGTCTAGCCCTCTGCCTGCTGAGGAGACCAGTTCGCAGCCTACCAAGGAGTCTAATGCTATCCCAACTGGGAAACCTAGCTCTCTGCCTGCTGAGTCCAGCCCTCACCCAGTTGCAGAGTCCAGCCCCCGGCCTGCCAAGGAACCTAGCCCTCATCCAGTTGCAGAGTCCAGGCCCCAGCCTACCAAGGTGTCCAGTGCAATCCCAGCTGGGGAACCTAGCTCTCTGCCTGCTGAGGAGTCCAGGCCCCAGCCTGACAAAGAGCCCAGCCCACACCCAGTTGCAGAGTCCAGCCCCCAGCCTACCAAGGAATCCAATGCTATCCCAGCTGGGGAACCTAGCTCTCTGGCTGCTGAGGAGTCCAGGCCCCAGCCTGACAAAGAGCCCAGCCCACACCCAGTTGCAGAGTCCAGCCCCCAGCCTACCAAGGAATCCAATGCTATCCCAGCTGGGGAACCTAGCTCTCGAGTCCAGCACCCAGCTTGCCAAGGAACCCAACACTCTACAAGCTGGGGAATCCAGCTCTCTGCCTGCTGAGGAGTCCAGCCCCCAGCCTGCCAAGGAGTCCAGTGCAATCCCAGTTGGGGAATCTAGCTCTCTTCCTGCTGAGGAATCCAATGTAATCCCAACTGGGGGATCTAGCTCTCTGCCTGCTGAGGAGTCCAGGCCCCAGCCTGACAAAGAGCCCAGCCCACACCCAGTTGCAGAGTCCAGCCCCCAGCCTACCAAG